CCACCACTTGACATGCGCTGCCTCTCCTGGCCAGGATGGCCGAGGATTGGGTGTGTCTCACGGCTCTTGTTTGTTCCCATCAGTGGACTCCAACGACAGCCTCTACGGGGGAGACTCCAAGTTCCTGGCTGAAAACAACAAACTGTGCGAGACGGTGATGGTGCAGATCCTGGAGCACCTGAAAGCTCTGGCCAAGGACGAGGTGGGTGCCCTCTGTCTGCCCCCAGCCCCCACCCCTTGCAGGAAAGCACATGTTTCTAGAATGGTTTGGTGTTCATACTGGAAAGGAAGTGATTTTATGGGAGTGATATGTTTATGTGCAAACCGTTTATCAAATGCTCAGGGCCTTTGCTCCTGCTGTTTTCTCTGTTTGGAATGCGCCTCTCCCAGGTCTTCACATCAGTCAGGTCTCAGCAAAAAATCCCCTCTTCAGAGAGACCCTTCCTGCCCCTGCTCTCAAGCAACCATTGCCTCCCTCGTGCCTCTGAAGTGCTCCTACCACTGTCTGAAACGTCCTGTGTGTATGCGTACTTGTCTGTTCCTGGCCTCCCCCACTAGAATGTAAGCTCCATGAGAGCAGGGACCTTGTGAGTCTTGGAGACCTGCTTGTGCCTGACGACCAGCCCACAGCCAAGCTGGGCCTCTGGGATCCATCTGTCACTACAGCGTCCCCCACACCTGGAACAGAGCCGGGCATACGCAATCAATACGTGTTCAATAAGTAACAGCATGTGCTTTCCACGTCTCAGCTCTTTCAATGCTCACAACAACCCTGTGAAATGTAGCTGTTTATTCCTACTGAACATAAAAGGAAACTGAGGCTCCGAGAAATATCTGGAGCCCCTCTGGTTGCAATAGAACAGCAGGGATTCTAACCCTGATTCCCAAGCTGGGACTCTTAACCACTACATTGTCCCCATCAACCAGCCAAGGTATTGCACTTCCCTGTTAGGAAGTGGCTTGTGGCCATTATCTAGCAACAACAGTAGGTATGTTTTTCAAACTCTTTGTATAGATTAAGGTGTAGTTTGTATATATTAAGTGCACATAATCCAGTGAGCTAGGTACAGGTGTTATCCTCACTTTCCTTATGAGGAAACTGAATCCTAGAGAGATAGCTAGGTAATATGGTCAAGGCAGTCTTCTAGAACCCATGCTCTTATCCACAAAATATATTCTTTTATCAAACGTTACGTTTTTTCAGAGCAGTTTTCTCATATTTTCCATATAGATAGATAGATGGTTGATTGACTTCAGTATAATTTCCATATAGTACAATATAAGTAACTACTTGGTTCCCTGCCCAAGTAATGCTGACCATGGCTTCCATTTTTGCAGCTTTAGCCCAAACATGGAGTCACAGATGGATCCCACTAACCCTGTCTGAGGCTTTGGTTGTTCAGGCACAGGCAGGTCTCCATTATTTTGTTAAGGCTGAGGTCTCCATTACTGTGTTAAGGCTGATTTCCTGCTGTGTAGTCAAGGTGGAGGGAGGGGAGAGAAGGTTGGCAATGAGTTAGGAATCAAAGCTGGGGCCTGACATTCCACCTCTACCTTCTGCCCTTGGCTCATCTTGTGCGTGACATCAAGTAGGAGGCAGTTGGCTGGCTAAGTTAACATCAGCTGTTGCCTGATGTCAAGGAGGAGGCAGTTGGCTGGCTTAACTGGTGCCTGACTTGTTACCTCCACATGCTTCCCTGGGTCTTGCTCTTGACCTACTCTGAGCTGCCTTCTGGAAGCCTTGAGCATTTCAAATTTTTGATTCCCACCTATCAAGAGACAACCTGACAACTCGTTCCTGATCTCATCTCAGCAGGAAGGGGCCTGTTTTCTCTATCCTCGCCTTCAATTCCTTTTCCCAGACCTAAGACAGATTTTTGTTTCCTCTGTTCTCAGTGGTTTTCCAGCCCTGCCCCTTCTTCCAAAGCACTAGCTACTTCCCTCTTTCCCAAACCAGGGTTTTCCTGAATTCTTAGTTGTTCCTAGACTTTGCTTCCACATACCCTTTGAAGACAAAAGATCAAACTGGCTTTTAATTCTTATTTCCAGACTGTATAAGATGACATCCCTGTCCTTATCCTCCTTTCCCACTCCACCAAGAAAGCCATAAAAATACCAGATAGCTGTAAATATAAACATTCAGTACAAACCTGTATGTCCTGGGATCCCATTCTCTCCAGGGTATTCAAACAAGTGCTGGAAAGAGAGTAAGATTTTAGGGTGAGGGGGAGGGGCAGGGGCTCTATTTCTCTGTGGCCTCTGCCAAATCCAGGCATACTGCCTTAAGGTCCTACATTAGGGTCAACAGGCTAAAGGGCGGAGGACTACACGCTCAACAAAAAGCTCAGAAATGCTGGGGCCCTGAGTGCCTCTTAGTGCTCTCTCTGGGCAGGGAGGATGTGTGGGTGTGTCCCACTGACCCTAAAAGCCCCAAACACTAAGGCTCAGAGAGCTTCCTGGTTGGCAAGAACATCTGCTCTTGAGAGGGTAGTGCATCCCTTGGGACGTGGAAGCTCCACGCTGGGAACGCTCTCAGACGTCGCCCTGTGTGTCCCTTCATTTGTATCCTTTTTGACTCTAATAAACCTGTAGTGGTGAGTATGGTATACTCTCTGTGAGTTCTGTGAGCCATTCCAGTGAATTATGGAACCCAAAGGGGCAGTGGGAGTCAGCAGGTCAGAAAGTAAGGCTTTCATGTGGGTGGCAGAACCCTGCTGGGCTCAGGGCTGCGGTGCCCAGAACTCTGGAGAAGTTAGTGCTTGGAGGACACCTGGCTATCAGTGGAAGGATGTGCCTTAGAAGACCAGCCTCTTCAGGAAAACAGGTTCATCAAATCCGTATGGTCAGGAAGCCCTGGTTGTGCAACAGTTGAGCGCTCAGCTGCTAACCAAAAAGTCTGGCAGTTCGAACCCACCCAGTGGCTCTGCCAGAGAAGGACCTGGCGATCTGCTCTTGTAAAGATTACAGCCTAGAAAACCGTATGGGGCAGTTCTGCTCTGTCACTATGAGTGAAAATCAACTCCATGGCACCTAACAACAACAACATGGTCAAAGGAACTTCGAGTGAGGGCCAAGAACAGTGGTTTTATCTCTGCTTAGGTGGTTTCAGGAGCAAGCCCTTGATACCGTACAGGAGAAATGGACGTCCTCTACCTTCAGCTTGAACTTGTTATACTATTTTAGATCCCCCACCCCAGTGAAAAATGATTCCTAGCTCCTTTCCCTGACTTCTTAAAACTGTCAGCTCTGGCTCCATCTTCTAGCCCAGGAACGTGATGTGTATTTGGCAAGTGGCACCCAGGAAAAATTCGCAATGTGGTTTGGAAATACATTTCTTCAGTCTAATATAACAGGCTGGGTTTCATCAGAGGCAGCCAGGACAGCATAAATGACTAGCTATCCTCACCCACCCACTCCCCAAGCTCACAATGAAAAGACAGCCCAAAGCCATAGAATTTGGAACTGTTTTAACATTTATGTCTTTTTACTGGGTGGTGATGGTGAGAACGTCTGTCCACATGCATATTTATTAGAAAAATACAGGTGGACTGAGCTGAAATGCAACTTGTCATCCTCATTTGAATAATGCCATGTGAAATTCAGCACAGGCGGCCACCTGGCGGCAGGGGCCCCGGAGGTGAAGTCCTCCGGAGTCTGGTGATCCAAGAGCACCAAACTTGTTGCCCAGTCGCTTTACAGCACAGGGAGAGAGGTCCGATTTCCGGAGGGCAGCTTCCCGCTGCTGTTCCCAAGCGTCTCCTCTCTTCTTAGCGCTGGTGGCGGCCCTGCTACCAAAACCATCCTTTCCATCCATGCGAAGGAGCCAGGCCTGTTTTAATGAAGAGCTTTATGAAGTTGTTTGGGTGTGGTGAAGCCAGGCACTGTGCCAGACCCTCCGAGCTTCCTGGAAATGACAATTCTCATAGGACAAGAATAAAAAGAAACTCTTCTATTTAAAACCTCTGTGGAGAGGAGGTGGTTCGAGGCCTTGATTTGATTCTCTCAGTAACGCGTTTGTGTTTTTCTGGGTCTTTGAATATCAGCTGGCATGTTTTCCCATCCCTCACACCCGGCTCTAACAAGCTTATTTTTAATGGGCAGTGGCATTTAAAACACATGTGAACTGAGCTTTTTTAGGGTAAAATGCTTATTCAGAAGATACAGAGTGGAGAGATAGCTACTCAGAGATGGTGTTTCTTGTTTAACATTTTAAAAAATCTCTCCTGCTTCAGTGAAATGTGTAGTTAAAGGGCCTCTCTCAGTGGAGACTATTTGAGTTGGATTTGAAACAGAATTTTCTTTTTGCTTGGTCTTCTGGATCTAAGCAGACAATGGGGTCCTCCTGTTCTCCCAAGAATCAGTTGAGGGCCAGCTTAAAAGGTGTGCAGAATGGGCTGGAACCTGCTGAACCACCGGTGCTCTCTGCTCAGATTCCGGATTAGCGCGGACCTGTGTTGTCTGATAAATGAATCCAGAGCAGGCAGTCAGCAGACGGTTAATTGGCTGTGCGTAGGTGCCAGGCCTCCGTGATGAGGTGCCTCACTGTCAGCTCAGCTGCTTCTGTGACTGTGACCTGGTCTGAGCCGTTGCCAAGGCAGGCTGAATTTGGGGGCCCAAGTCTCTTCATTGCCACTCAGCCTCCCTTACCCAACTGTGTCTGAAGCTACTCCTTGGCTTTTTTTTTTTTCTTCCTTCACTAAAAGACTTGAAATTCTGACTTGGGGGAAGCCACAAGAGGGGGGGGACAAATTGGCCCAGAAGTTAGCACAGGGTCTGGCTCTCGGTAAGTTCAATATGCCTATTTGTGGAATAATGGCTGGATGGACCGATGGATGGTTCCAGCCACCCCTGATTCCCTGGATAAAACCACACAGCTGCAGTTGGCAGCTGCATTGAGCAGGCCTCTGAGCCTCTTCAGAATTTGGATTCCTAATATGGGACTAAGGGGCTCTGGTGGTGCAGTGGTTAAGTGTTCAGTTGCTAACCAAATGGTTGTCGGTTCGAACCCACCTGCTGTTCCATGGGAGAAAGGTGTGGCAGTCTGCTTCCCAGAGATTAAAGCCTTGGAACCTTATGGGACAGTTTTACTCTGTCTTATAGGGTTGCTATGAGTTGGAATCGACTCAACAGCAATGTTTTTTTTTTAAATATGGGGCTAGTCAGAAGTCTGTGGGCACATCTCGTCACCTGGGGGTGGGACGTGAGGAGGTAGTATGGGTACAGGTGAGGGCTCTGGAGATGCACAGCTGGAGCTCAGAGCCTCACTCTGCCACTAACTAGCTGTGGTTGTTGGGCAAGTAAATCTTTGGAGCTTCAGGTGCCTCGTGTGCAAAGTGTGATCATATTAGTTTCCTGTTGCCACCATAACAAATGACCACAAACTTAGTGGCTTCACACAACACCCATTTACCATCTCGCAGTTCTGTAGATCTGAAGTCGGGGCTGGCTGGGCTGATACCCCTGCTCTGGGTTCACAAAGCCGAACCCAAGGTATTGGCTGGCTGGGCTCTGCTCGGGGCAGCATCCACTTCCCCATCTATATGGGGTGTTGGCAGAGCAGTTCCTTGTGGTTGTAGGACTGATGTCCCCATTTCCTTGCTGACTGTTGGCCTGGGGTCGTTCTTAGTGCTAGAGGCCACTGGCATTCCTTTGCTCCTGGCCCCCACCCGCCTCCATCTTCAAAGCCAGCAGGTCCTCCTGGTGCTTTGAATCTGTCTGGCCTCCCCGTCTGCCTCATCTCTCCCCAGCTTTCCTCTTCTGCTGCTTTTCTCTGACTCTAGCCTGAGAAGTTTCTCTAATTTTAAGGGCTCAGGTGATTAGACTGGACTCATCCAAATAATCCAGGATAATCTCCCTACTTTAAGGTCTACAACTTTAATTCCATCTGCAAAGTCTCTTCACAGCAGTACCTAGGCTTGTGTTTGAATAACCAGGGGATGGGACTCTTGCGGGGACAGCTTTAGATTTCTGCCTACCAAGGGGGTTATAAAGGAACCTACCTCAGAGAGTCATCGTGTTGTGTAAAGCACAGAGCCTGATACCTGGCTTCCAGCAAGGGTTCCATGCCCGTTACTGCCAGGGCTCGGAGCCAATGCATGAAGCTCCTAGCAGCCCTGACACTCTGTGATGCCAGCCAGGGCCACCCGGCCAGGGCCTGGGCATCACGCTCCAGGGTCCAGCATAGACATGTGACCTGACCTGGCCACATGGGCTCCATGACACAGCAAAGGCTCATTGTTGACTGGGCCTTTGGGAGGTTGTGCACCTTTGGGAGGTTGTATCCTTTCTTCTCAGCTTGTTGTTGCATCCTGGACATTTATTTCCCCTTCTGGCTTTATGTTGTTCAAAGCTGGGGCTCAAGTTTGGTCTACTTTGACGTTTTGGTTGGACTTTTCTTACCAAGGTACCTCTTGTATCAGATTATTGAGCAAGAGAGCAAAGAGATGGCGTCAGAGTGTAAAATGGTTCTTGTAAAAGCCGGACGTGGGCTGGAAGCGTTGGGGAGCTCTGTTTGTGGCTGGTAGTAGCCGCTGTTTGGTCTTTATCACAAGCAGCCAAGGGACAGGAATAGGGACTGCAGTTTTAGGTAGTTTGGGGGCACATCTGAAAGAGACATTTTTTAGCCTTTCACTTTTAAATTTTACCTGTGTTAAAGCACGAGGACTTAACGTTGGTTGGTTAAGTTTCATTCCTTGATCCCACACTAGTATTCAGTCTCCTGAAAGTATCACTCACTCCTGTTTCTTGTGAGGCACAGAGCTAAATGTTTTATATACATCATCTCATTTAATCCTCATGAGATCCCTAGGAGGGTAGGTATTACCTTACAGATGAAGAAGCTGGGGCTCGGGGATGTTAAGCAGCTGCCCCAAGGCCCTACAGCAGATACGTGGCAGAGCTAGCATTGAACCGAGGTGTGACCTACTCCAGAGTCAACACTGCCCAGAGAACCTGTCCGTGGGTCTCTGCAGGGCCCAGCCTGAGCCCGGCAGAGACAGTAACCTTCCTTGTCTGTTTCAGGCCCTGAAGCGCCAGAGCTCGCTGAGCCTCTCCTTCTTTAACAGCATCCTGGCCCATGGGGACCTGCGCAACAACAAGCTGAACCAGCTCTCCGTCAACCTGTGGCACCTGGCGCAGAGGCACGGCTGTGCGGACACCAGAACCATGGTGAGGCACTCAGAGGGCCCCGCAGCAAACGCACGAGGCACGGGACCCAGCAAGCACAATGGGCCCACCATGGGGCTCGACTGACCAGACAATGCCTGGCCTTACCTCGGCATTGGGCCTGAGCACCCAGCAGGTGCAGCCTCCCCTTTAGAAGGGCTCTAGGCCTGAGATTTCTGCTGGCCACTTGCTAGGGCCAGAGAGCATGGCCTTCAAAGTTTATTCCCTCTAAATAAAAAGACCACACACATTAAAACACCAAGTCATTCCTTGGTTGCAATCAAATCTGGTTTTATAAGAGCAAGTTGTAATCTAAGAAGTTGCATTTTAAACTTTGCTGGCTTCTTTCTCTCCGTCATCCTCAAAAGATTTCACCTATTCTCTGTTAGAAGAATGTGTAAACTCCCACCATGGCTGATTTGCTGGAGCCCTAGGTTCCAAGGATAGAGAGTTGGACCAGAAAGGACACGGTTCTGTCTTTTTTCCTCCTAGGTGAAAACTCTGGAATACATCAAGAAGCGAAGCAAACAACCAGACATGAGTCACTTGACTGAGCTGGCCCTGAGACTCCCTCTGCAGTCACGGACCTGACCCTGTCCCTTCCCCAGGCCTGGGCCCAGGCCTTCTGTGGCTGAGTCCAGAGACACTTTGCCCCGGACTCTTACTGGAATTCAGAAAGTTGTTTGTTTTGGGGGGTTTTTTGTTGTTGTTGTTTTTAAACATATATACAGATGGGTTGATGCCTTGGCCTCTGCCCAGATTATTCTGACAGTGAAGAAGGGGGGATTGTGAGCATTCACATCAAATCTTGCTCACCGAGAAGCAGCATCTTCTGCTTCTTTTTACAAGTGGCCTTGAGGTTCTCAGTAAGCCCTGGGAGGAATCAGATGGGCCTTTAGCGAGAGAGAAACTAAAGAATGCAAGTAATGTCTTTATTTTCGGTCATATTTTGGGAAAACCACCTTGGAAAGCATCCACTTTTCAGGTGCCACAGTTCCCAGCGCTTAATCTGAGGGCCTAAAGTCTGGAATCGAATGTTGCTCACACCACCTCGGAGGACTTATAAAAGGCAGATGGCCCAGTTAGCTCCTTTTCTATCAAAAGTACCTCTTGGTTGGACATGGCACTTTGTGGGTCAAAGGAGGAAGTGACGTCAAACCCGAGACTCGCTGTGGCTTCAGTGGCAAGTACATTGTAACCAAGTAAATGTCCTGGAGGAACATTTCTCTGTTCGTAACTGTTCATTTAATTACTTCTGACTCTTCATCCAGAAGAAAGAGAACACGTCTGAGCATATTAGCCCAGCCTCCTTTTCAGCTGTAATTATAAACAGCATATGATTCTGGCTACTTTTCTGTCACCAGTTTGGTGGAGTCTGAGTCTTGTATTACAGCCACAAACTCCCACTGACATCTTGAATTAGTAAGAGCAGTGATACTGATTGGCCTGTAACCTGTTTCCCATGAAAATGCATCCACGTTGTGGATTAAAGTGCCCCAAACTATGGTACTTTGAGAAGCTATACACTGGGCATAGATGACATTTCATCTCTTTACCCTTTGTGTGCTAAATGCCAGCATCACAGCAGTTAACCTCAGAAAGTACAATGATTTTTAAATATAAATTTATATAAACTCATGTTCTTACTGGATAGTGTAAAAGCAAGAATATGCTGTGAAAATGGTTTTTCTGGCCAACTTGGTAATGATAACACCCACACCCACTCCACCTCCCGCCCCCTCCCCCCGCCCAAGAAATGGTTGAGAAAATAGACTACAGAATGGTAGTAGACACTAATGAATGCCTACTTCCCTCCCCTTTACTGAACAAAACATACAGAACCTCAGAAAGCATTGTGGTAGTATCTAAATATTCACAGGTGGCCTTTATTTCACAAAACTGATATCTCCATTAAAATTATTTTATATACCATGTTTACTTATACGATGCTATTTAAGTGAAAAATCATTGGCAAATTCACAGAGTATGCTCTTCAAGTCATTTCTTTTACTTTGAGGCTGCAAATGTCAGTGAGTTTATGTTGCCCAGACATCGACCTGAACCTGGATTTTCACATTAGGTCAGGTATGCATTACCGCAGAGGGAGCTTCTGCACCCTCCTTTGCCTTGCCTAGGCGGCTGAGATTTTGTGTGTTCTTGTGTCCAGTTTCCCCCAGCCCATTACTAAATCAATAACCCAGTCTCTGAAAACCACAGTCTGCAGGGGATGAAATCTACTACCATCAGGAGGGATGGAGAAATAAAGAATTCAAGCAAGAATTCGAGGAGATAAGTAAAAATGAAGGACACTTCTGCATGAGCCCCATATTAACTTCCTTTTGGCTGCTGTAACAAATAACCACAAACTTGGTGGCTTTAAGCAACACAGTTTTATCATCGTACAGTTCTGGAGGTCAGAAGTCCAGCATGGGCCTCACTAGGCTCAAAGTCAGGGTGTTAACAGGCTGCCTTCCCTTCTGTAGGCTCTAGGGGGGAATCTGATTTTTTGCCTTTTCCAGCTTCTAAAGGCCACCTGCATTCCTTGGCTCATGGCTCCTTTGTTTTCAAAGCCAGCAGTGGCAGGCTGAGTCTTGTCACATCAAGTCTCTCTGACAATGGCTCTTCTTCCTCCACATTCAAAGACCCTTGTGATTACACTGAGCCCACCCAGATAACCCAGGATAACCTCCTTATTTTAAGGTCAACTGATGAGCAGCCTTAACTCCATCTGCAATTTGACGGTAATTCCCCTTTGTCTTGTACAGTGGTCCCCCCTTACCTGCTGGGGATTTGTTCCAAGACCCCCAGTGGATGCTTGAAACCACAGACAGTACTGAACGCTATATACACTATGTTTTTTCCTATATATATACACTTCTGATAAAGTTTAATTTACAAATTAGGCACAGTAAGAGATTAACAATAATAATAAAATACAACAATTATAACAATATACTGTAATAAAAGTTATGTGAATGTGGTCGGTCTCTCTCCCTCAAAATAGCTTATTAAATGGAGAACTTTCACTTTTTCATTTAAAGGAAGCACTTTACGGCTTCTCTGTGGCATATCTGAATTGCCAGCATCACTACTCCTGTGCTTTGGAGCCATTAAGTAAAATAAGGATCATTTGAACACAAGCACTGCAATACCGTGACAGTCGATCTGATAACCGAGATGACTACCAAGTGATTGACGGGCCAGTAGCATATACAGCGTGGATACGCTAGACTAAGGGATGATTCACGTCCCAGGCAGGACAGCGCAAGATTACATCACGCTACTCAGAACGGTGCGCGATTTAAAACTTATGAATTGTTTAATTCTGGAATTTTCCATTTAATATTTTCAGACTGTAGGTAACTGAAATTGCAGAAAGCAAAACCAAGGATAAGGGGAGACGACTTGTAATCTAACATGTTTACAGGTTCCGGGGATTAGGATATAGACATCTTTGGCGTGGGGCATTGGTCTGCCTACCACAAGATCTAAATAATTGTAATAGTTTGTAAAATTGAATATACAGTTTCTGTTAGGGGAGAAATACATCTGTTTGGAAAAGTAGTTGTGATGGGCCTGTCTGGTTGTGGAAAGGCGGCCTCAGGGCAGAGCCTAACAGGCCAAGGCAGAGATAGCAGGAATTACCACAAGGAATACAGTGGGAAGAATAGTGAGGTGTGGGAGACAGCTCAAGAAGGGAGATTGTGCCGAAAGGACCTTGCCATAGAAAGGGGGTCAGCCAGTGAGAAATCCCTGAGAGAGATGGCAAACAGATTGGAGAACAGGGCTGTTAAATAGTCAACTCAGATCTCGGCTGTGTTTTATGCCAGACCTCCCCGAAATTCTGAGCAGAAACCGCAAAACTACCTTGTCCCATTGGAGACAGGCTATGTTCTACACATAGTCGAGACTTAAGAAGAACACGGGAAATCCAGGCAAGGAGTGACATGGAAAAACACGCCGACGGCTTGGGGAGGGCACTGGACATCGGAAAAGGAGGGGACGGGGGGGGCTCAAGCCAATGTTTAATTTACGAAGGACGTAGCCCCAGTTAACCCCAGAAGTACAGGCAGCAATTCTCCCCAGATTGCAGACTGCCTCTGGGTAGGGGCCTGGTGGTAGAGTGATGGTGGTCTGCACCCACCAAAGTGAAGAGACAGGGTTGGGTTCATTCTGGAGGATACTCAGCATCCTGTTGTTGGACTTGGCGGCCCAACCTTCTCTGGTTAGACCCTGCTCCAGGAGCAGACTTCACGAATTTCCTGTGTACTTAACAACAGTTTCCCTTGACCAAGTGGAACTCTTAGAAACATTATCCAAAAGAGCCAATGGTGATATATAGAGTTACAAAGTCAAGTCCTACTACAGAGACTACACTAAACGGCAGGAGGGGAAAGAAAGGCCTGACCATCACATTCCAATGACAGCTATCCATCACCAAGGCTTAGATGGGGGCAAGACAGTAGATAATCGACCGTCCACTTTCTGGAATCACCCTTGGGACACCTAAGTATCATCCCTCCCCACCACTTCCTGTGTCTTTTTAATTGTGCTTTTGGTTAAAGTTTACAGCTCAAGTTAACTTCTCATTCAGAATTTTATACACACATTATTTTGTGACATTGGTTGCAACCCCCACAATGCGATAGCATGCTCCTACTTTCCACCCCAGGTTCCTTGTGTCCATTTGTCCAGTTCCTGTCCTTTCCTGCCTTCTCATCCTGCTTTTGGACCGGGGCTACCCATTTAAATCTCGTATATTTGATTGCACTAAGAAGCACATTCCTCACGTGTTATTTTTTGTTTTATAGGCCTGTCTAATCTTTGTCTGAAAAGTGGGCTTCGGGAATGGTTTCAGTTTTGGGTTAGCAGAATGTCTGGGGACCATAGTTTTGGGGGTTCCTCCAGTCTCTGTCAGACCAATGAGTCTGGTCTTTTTATGTAAATTTGAGTTCTATATTTTTCGCCTGCTCTGTCCGGGACTCTTCTGTTGTGTTCCCTATCAGGGCAGTCGTTGGGGGTAGCTGGGCACCATTTAGTTCTTCTGATCTCAGGCTGGTGGAGTCTCTGGTTCATGTGGTCCTTTTACTCCTTTGGGCTAGTATTTTCCTTGTGTATTTGGTTTTCTTCATTCTCCTTTGCTCCAGGTGGGCTGGGACCAATAGATGTATCTTAGATGGCTACTCACAGGCTTTTAAGACCCCAGATGCTACTCACCAAAGTGGGATGTAGAACATTTTCTTCATGAACTGTTACGCCAGTTGACCTAGGTGTCCTCTAAGCAAGTGTAATCTTCTTGATGACCCAGGGCCCACTCACACTATAGTGTGATCTCTTGGCAAGATGAAAACTATTGGTTCCCTTTTACATGGAGTGGATTCCTATAGCGTTGATAAGGACAGCAGAGATTTATTCCCCTCAAAGGAGGAGGTGCCTTCCAACTCAAACGCAGAACCCTGCTCTAGGCCTTAGATGGCCTCTTCCATTATGCATCTCACTGCTGAATCCATGGAAGGCCAGATTCCTGTGTGGAGGGAAGTGGCCCAAATAGATTTCTTGCTAGCGCACACTAGCACACAATCTGTGCTGGTCAGGGGTCAGGGCCCAGGGAAGGACAGCCATCTGAGCGGCCTGGCTCACCTCTGCCCAGTTAGGGTAGTAGTGGAACCATGTTCATTTTGCCAGCATCCACTCATTTCTTCCTTCCCAAATGGCCTGATGGGATTCTCCCTCCGCCTGCCAGGGGCTGGTTCAAGAATGTGCATGTCACCCATTCTGAGCTACAAAAAGAGGCTTTTCTTCTTCTGGAATGTTCCTAGTGTCTTCATATGCTGCCTGGAATGGCTGGAGCCATTCTTCTGCCATCCTGATGAAGCCAACACTGAGGATGATGGAGCAGAGAGGAAAAGAATGTTTCCTTGGTGAACTGATGAACCAACACCTTACATCAGGACTTCTTGTCATGTGAGACATGGGATTTCCTGTTGAGGTCAGCCTGAGCTAGGATGTGTGTAGGAGTTGTGATGTGAAACTGACCCAATCAGAGCCTGTATTTTGGGATGCAGGATGCTAGGTGAACACATCACTCAGGTCACTGGACCTGGAGCTCTTCGAGGTTTGCTGGGGAGTCCAAGCTTGGAGACAATGAGAATCATTGTCCCCACAGTGATGAGGCCATTTCCTGTGTCATCCCCGTGCCTGTGCCTCCTTGCACTTGACCTCCACCACAGAAGTCACCTGTGCTTCTTTCTTGTGATCACAAAGAATAAGACATACCTGGGAATTTGCCACTGGCTCATTTGCAGGACTAAAAACCAAAAAAACCAAACCCATTGCCGTCAAGTGGATTCCAACTGGGCAATGGAACTACCCCATAGGGTTTCCAAGGCTGACATCCTTATGGAAGCAGACTGCCACATCTTTCTCCCATGGAGTGGTAGGTGGGTTCAAACCTCGATCCTTCAGTTAGCAGCCAAGTGCTTAACCACTGCACCACCAGGGCTCCTCTTTGGATGACTAACCACTCTAAAATGCCTTGCTGGGTCTAGTTAAAGCACAAAATAATTAAATCCAAGCCCAGCACTTTAGATCTGAACACAGGTGGGAAAGGCAAGATGGGTTTAGAGATGATACATTTCACATTTGCAGAGACCGTGCAGCCACACTGGCTCGGTAGCATTTCACAAGCCTGCAGCCACCCCAAGACAGGGGACAGGAAAATGAGCTTGCTCCTCCTCTTTTATCATTAATTCTACTTCCTGTTTGAAATTTAGACACATAATAAAACTAACTTTCTTAAACAAAAACATTTTAATCCCGAGTATTCCAGGTAATATTCCCTAGAGGGGACATGTCATAGTGAATAGGGACTTAGGGCTTGGCCTATAAATGTACACTTGGATTCACTGGTTGGATGACCGTAGGCAATTTTATTATTTCCTCCCTGAACCTCAGTTTCCTCATCTGTAAGATGGGAATAATAATAGCACCTATTTCACAGAATTATGAAGATTAAATACAGTAATGCAAGGAAAACACTTTAACACAGTGTCTGGCCCATACTAAACACTCAACAAACATTAAAAAACCAGTCACCATTGAATCAGTTCTGATTCATGGCGACCCCATGTGTGTCAGAGTAAAACTGTGCTCCATGAGGTTTTAAATGGCCGATTTTTTGGAAGCAGGTCACCAGGCCTTTCTTCCAAGGCGCCTCTGGGTAGACTTGAACCTCCAATCTTGGTTAGCAGCCAAGTGTGTTAACCATTTGCACCATCCAGAGACTCCCAACAAATGTTAGCTATCATTACTGATACATGCTGGTGTCTTCAAAGAGATGGAATGTTTAGCACGGAAAATAGCAGCTTTTAGCCACCCCGATGTTATTGACTCCTGAAACATGAGCTTCCCCCACCCCACTTCCTTCGAGTACATCAAGATAGTTGTCCTTAATCTTTGCAGCAGTTCAATTTGAGACAACTGTCAGGTAGCTTTCATCGGCATAACTGAATAAAAAAAGCAATTCTGGCTTTTTTTTCCCCCCTAAACAAGACCCAGCTGTTTAATTTTCAAACTTAATCGACTTGGAAGCATTCCTGTCAATATAAAAGCCTTTGCCTGGGGCTGTGGAGAAGCCGAGGCCAGCTCCCCGGTTGTACTTCCAGCTCATGGCCCGGTCATAGTCCTGCTGCAGGTTCTGCTGCAGGGCGTCAGCTGCCTTCTTGTTGAGCGCCATGTTGGGCCTTCCGATCATGCTAGGGGGACGTCTGAACGAAGGTGATAGATTTTTAAAGCCACCCATCAGTTTGAGGAATTTCAGTTTCTGGTCCTCGTTTTCAAAACCAGCAGTGTCCCACTGGCCAAACTTGGTTCCCTGTGTTAACAGAAAAGAAGGCAGTCATTTCTCTTAATCCCAAAGTGCTCTCCTTCCCCTCGCCAGCCCCAGCCTCACCAGGCAGGACTCAGCGGTTCTGTACCAGGTACACAACGAATGAGCACATCAGTGGATTGTCCTGTTTAATGCCAACAAGAGAGATACTGTTATTATTCCCGTTTTACTGATGAGGAAATGGAGGCTTACAGCTTCACTAGGGGCACAAGCCTCCCTAGTAATCCCACTGGAATTCCAAACTGGGTCTGGCCAACCCCAGACGCCACCTTTACATGCTGAGCTGCCTGTTTTCATTCTTCTCCCCTAACTCATGTCAAACAATACAGCACCCTTACCAGTGCTTGCCACATACCAGAATTGCCCATGCAGGAGAAAATGCCCAAGAGCCCCTTAGAGCAGTGGCCTAAGAAAAGACCCCACTCCCTCCCATGTCCATGCAAAAGCCAAGAAACCCTGCTCCCCAAGAAGATGGTGGTTTTGAAGTTAGGCAGCCACCGGTTCAAGCCCCACCTGTGTGATCCTGTGCCTTCATCTATAAAACGGGTGTAACGACCTCTCACAGGGCTTCGGTGAGGAGTAAATAGCTTCCATACCCAGGCCCAGAGCACAATGCTTGGCCCATTTTTAAGTCCTCATTAACTGGTAGTTCTTCCCACCCCACCACCATGCTTACTGTCCATCCCAGGGCTGACCTCCACGCTGCCTAGCAACTTTCCGCTTGCAAACCAAATGCCAGCCTAGTGGTATTTCTAGGTTGGCTTTGGGAGAACAGTAAGAACCAGTTGTTGCTACAGCTGCCCTGAGTGAACGGAGATGAATTCTCCCAGCTTCAGAGTGGCCCAGATGCAGGAATAATAAGCTCCCCACAACTACCATTTCTAGTGAGAGATCGCCTATGACAGTCTGCATGGTTCTGGGCACGGTGCTGCTAGCAGGCTGGCCGGGGGGCAGACATGTTGGTCTGGACTGAGCCGACTCTTCCAGGGGCCTTCACATGCCTCAATGCTGACGTGGTCCTAGGTCCTGGGAGGCAGCGCCACACCTAAAGTGTCCCCGGCACCTCCTGGTCCCTGCGCGCCAGAATCGCTGTTCTGCAGCCAGGTCCTTCCAAGAACAGTCTCCCAGGGCCAGGGCTCCGAATGACGCAGCCCTGTTTCTTGCCCACCTCACGCATTCAGGGCATCCTGTCAGCTCCCCTCAGCTCAGCAGGACACAGTAGGACAAAGACAAAGCCCCATGCCATACCCCACCTCACAGGGCCAGGTTGTGAGTCCCATTTTACAGATACGGAAACTGAGGCTCAGAAGGGGGAAGTTACTTGCCTCAAGTCTCACAACTACAAAGTGACAGAGCCAGGAATGGATGTCAGCGCTTTTGACCCAAATCAAGCGTTCTTTTCTGAACACCCTGAAGCCTTAAAACAGAGCCTCAGAGGCTAGCCTGCCTATTGTCCTCGGTTCTTCTCTGTCCCTCTCCCCCAAAGCCAATCTAGTCACAAGTCCTGTTGGCTGTGCCTCCACATCAATCCCGAAGCTGTTCCCTTCTCTCTAAACCCAGTGCCACCTCCCTAGGCCCCCAGCTTGCAGGGTGAGCCTTCTGATCCCTCCCCCACTGCCCCTGTCAAAGCCCTCCAGCAGCTGCCACCACACGCGGTACCAGCACAAGCTTCCCACCCGGGCCACAGTCCCACATCCCAGCCACTCTGCAACACTGGCCTTTACGGGCTGCTCCAAGCCTTTCCCCGCTTTGGGTTTCACACTCGCACCCCACCCCCCAGCCTTCTCAGGGCTGGCACCCCTTCACCCTTCAGTCTTTGTACAAAGTGTCACCTCCTCCTAGAAGCCTCCTTGCCCCCTCCCTGTCACTCCAGCCCGTTCTCCTGTTTCCTTTCTCCTAGCATTCTATCTGAACTGGTCTCTCTCTCCTTGTTTAGCATTCATTTCCCCACCACATCTCCTGCCCACTGGCACCGAAAGGCGGGCCCCATGACGAGGGATCCCTCAGGCCTCGTGCGCCTCCTCGTCCGCAGTGCCCAGCACAGCGCCCGGTGCACGGTGGGGCCGAGGAACAGACTGATGCTGCTCAGCTGAACAGCTACGGGGAGCTGCATGGACACAGCCAGCCTGGGAGTGGCGAGGCAGGCTGCCAACCTCAGAGCTGGCTACAAGGTGCTTGCACTGCACTCGCTCCTGTCCTATCCTCTCAGGCCTGGTCTGGAAATTTCCCTGCAAACTTATCTTAACGCCAGTCCTGAGCACATGCTGTCCGTACCCTCAGCGCAGCCTCCTCTGTTCCCACCAGCTTTCCAATGTACTGCAGCACACGCCACTCATCCAGAGACAGGAACCGAGGTCCAGGCTGCTTATCCCACTTGGCCAGAACACGGGAGGGAGGAGGGCAAGCGGCGGCCGTTCCAGAAGGAAGGGAATTAGCTTGGGACAAGCTCTGCTGCGGAAGGCCTGGACTAACTTGCTCTCCCACGACCCCTCTCCACCAGCAGCCAAGCTGTGATGCCAGGGGGGATGGGTCAGGCTGCTGAGCACGCCACCTCACAGAGCCCTCGTGTCAGACTTACCATCCACTTCTTGGTTTCGGAAGCTTCCGTCTTGCCCGACTCACGATCAATCTCTTCTTGTAAGGCCTTTCGCCTCACCTGAACAAGGGGGAGGAAAGAAAAGGGTTGGAAAGGAGCCACAGAAGTTCTCCTTTGAGCTTGAAACCCAGGACAGAGATGGGGCTGGGGATGGAGGGTGGCAGAAGAAAGAGGACCCCAGCTAGTCTCTGCTGCAAGTACAGTGTAATGCATTTGTCAAGAGCATCTTCTGAGCCTGTGGAGGGCTCCAGATCTTTGAGCTAAACTGGGCAGGTCTCGTTTATCCTGCAGCATGAAAAAGCCAGGGGTCCTCGAGAATGAATTTTCCTAGAAATCGAGGCTTGCCCACCTTCAGCATTACAACTTTTTTTGCTTTTAATAACCACTGCCTGAGGACCTGCCTTCTTGTACAGAGGACACTGTACACCTACTCGTCACTTACTATCTCGTTACCCAACATTTTGCATATGTGACAACAGTAAAAACTCTACTATCTGACTATCTTGTGCATTAACAACACACGTCCGGCAGTAACGAACACCGAAG